GTTGTGCCATATGCTGCCTTTTTTTCTTCAAATAACATTTCTTTTTGCATCAAGCATATTAGAGAAAAGACGGAGCAGAGCAGCACAGCTAGACACAGATGCGATTGTTGCTCTCAGCTAGTAAGAATCATCACCTTCACATTAGCAGAGAAGGACAGTTAAAGCACAAACATCACAGTCTCTCACCTTTCTTTAGAGCTGCCCATGGTGCTTGTGGGCTGCTGTATGTGAAAATGCAACCGAAAGGCCAAGGCACTCTAATTAACTTCACCTGGCATTCCCACTTACTGTGAACGTGTCTAACCTTTACACAACCTCGCTTAGTCACCTCTCCTTTTAAACGCCCAGGTTGAAATTCTCATTTAATGTCAATAAGCAGATTACCACCCTCCCCCCACCTACCACCTCCCACCCCTGCCTAGCTTTTTTCTTAACCTTCTTTAGACTTCAGAAACAGATTTTTATTCAGGGCGGTCACAGCACTTTGTGGTGGTAAATCAATAAAACAGTGTCCCCTATAACAGACCTCTGTGTTTTCCCTCCATCGATCCTGTCAGCCCAGATACATTCAAGAGCAAGCCAGGCGATTACCCTCAGCAATCCTAACTTTGATCTATACAGCAGATGACAGGTGCCAGACATCAGCTTTGGGTAATTGTGATACTGAAAGGGGGCATCGTTAATCATTCTTTCTTGGCTTGAATTCAGTTGCTTATGATCGGTTCATGGTCGTTGTAGCCATTGTCGATGCAGACTGCTTGCAGGCATTGCCATCACCCTTTCACCTTGTTGCTACTGGAGCATAGACCACATTGTTGTGTGTGATGCCATATTTCACGTTATAGATTTAGTGTCCTAACGAAATGAGAAGTATTGCAAGCAGTATCAATTGCAACTGTGAAACAGGCAAATTCATTATATAGATGAAAGATTATGAGAAAATAATTCTTTACTCATTCTAAACTAATTATTTACAGAAAACGATTAGAAAATGTTGATAAAATATCCATTCTCCTCACCCTATTATCGCTGCATTATCATCTTCACTAAAGAAATTAAAATCTGCTGCAATTTGTTGCAACAAGAGCTTATTTAGTTGAAACCATTCTGGGACTCAATCATGCAACTGTGACTCAAGTAGAAAAGCTAAAGTTGTGTCGCTTGTAATTTGCTGAGAAAGACATAATGAAGTTCAGAAGATTTTAATTTACTTATTTTATAGAGAAGGTTAAATTACTAGTGTGCATTCGACTTAATTTGTATCCCATTAGCTGCCAGATAAAAAAATACAAAGGTGTTAGATTCTAATCGGTATTAGTTAATCAGCATCTCCTTGTATCATAATTCCAGCTTTAATCCTCACACCTCGGCATTTTCTCAATCAAGATTTAGCACTTTTGGTACCTGGAGGTCAAAGTGGTAATTAAAAAAGCACAGGCTGAAAACTTTATGTTTGTACTGCAAGGTGTGTAGATTTCCTGGGAATAAGGAGTGTAGAAATTATATCAACAGGGTACAAACCTGGGACAAAGTGAAGACTTTGCCATCTTAAATGGTTCCCTGCAGCAAAAAGCTCCAGAGAGACAAATGTTCAAGCAGCTTTCTGTCCCAACTGGGGCGAAGATAGGAGGTGATTCAACAAACCTATAACACCTTTTGACTCCATAGTATTACTACAGCAGCTCTGTTGAGATACATCCCCTATGAAATGTTCCAAATAAATGCTTCCCTTTTTCAAAAAAAGAGTCTTTTTAAATGCAAATCACTGTTGCTGTTGCTTTTCCATTACTTTCCTGTTCTCTCTCTTTGACCCAGTACGCTCAATTTTGGCACTCATGAAGTGGTTTTACTTGTGGCATCGCAGCAGCATTCCCACATGTAAATTTGTTTAATTGCGTCATAGATTTTGTGTTCTCTGATTTTGTAGTTAGTATTTTCTTTTGGGTAACTTGAAACATATTGGGTCTTCTTGAGTCTGACCTCTTCCTCCACTCCTCAATTTGTCAGCTTTGTGCGGTTGACTCTCTTTGAGTTGTGGGTCAAAGCTATAACTCACACTCTGTGAGTTGAAGCAATCCCATCAGCGAGCTGCTGTGTCCTCGTTCCTATGTTTCCCCAGTGTCCGACTGCTTTTGATCACTCTAACAGAAATGGATGGCATTCATACAGTGCTTAGATTAGACTGTGTGATGAGGTACTGCTCTGGGTTCAAAATAAAATGATGTCAGCCCCTGTGTATGCATCCACCTGTCTAATGGGAGGTAGCCATTTTGATCCCAGATATGCCACCGGGGTTGACTGCAGTTTCAAAACCTCAAACACAGTGGCTGATGAGATGTTTAGGACTTGATCAGGCAGCACTATGAACCACCTAATACTAGATCTCTTTACATCTCTCCATGTGTGTACCAGATGGTAATACATCAATTCATGGTAACCCATCCAATAGTTGTAGAGATATTTCATTCAAAACCACAAAGTCTTGGTGGTGCTAGAGGAAAAGTGGACAGACAGACCAACTCACCGATCGACATTTCCATGCTAAGAGCAATTCTGCTAGCTTGGCTGAGCAATTTAAAGAATTGTTAGGGGGGAAGAAGAACACCTGCAGGCCATTAAGGGGTTTCAACGACATTAGGAAAAGTGACTATCTTGCATCTTTGTAAAGAGCTTTATTGATATAGCCTGTTGCATATCCTTATCTACATGTCTGCTGTTCAGTTGATAGATAGTATGTGTCAGTTGTTAGTTGATAGTGGTAATTATGCTGCTTCATTTTTGAGGAAACAAAGTAGATAAGTATTAGTTAACACATGCAACCTCCCTGAAAAAATATCAATCAAGTGAAAATTCATTCTTGTTCTTGGAAACATTAGTTTGACAAAAATATCTTAACTTACTATTTCCTTGATGGCTTTGATTTTTTTTTTTTTTTT